GATATAATCCTGCAAAGTCCTACTCTTTCTAGGCAACAAGAGTTGATTAATAAAGTTCAAACGCAATGTCAAAACCTCTATTCAAATTAAACATAGAAAAAACCTGACTTCATTATCTCCGGTAAAAGTTTAGTTACAAAAAACATAAAACAAATTAACAGTTTTTCCCTGAAACTCAATAATAAACTGAAACACCTCGGATTCGTATGGGAAAATCAAGGTCATGGACAAAGTATAGCTACAATCCAATCAGCAAATGTAAATTAGAGAATTATTCAATATCAATTAATCTCAGAGCTTTTAAAAAATATGGAATTCGTTTTTGTCAACCAGTAATTTTAGTGCATTTGTTCAAATCTCTGGCTATACCAAATGATATGGATTAAAAATTTTTGATTATAACAATACTTTTCTTAATAAACTAGATGCTGTTGGAATATCAGCATTAAAAATTCTCTTTAGCATTTCAAAATACAGCAAAAACTGTATTCCTACTTTAAAATCGATGACGTATCTACCATCCTCGTTCAAAACAAATTGAATCTGTTTATCAGATTACTGAGCAATCCGACTTTTTTCCTCGATTTTAACTCAAATGTTAATAAGGATAACTTCTTTATCAACAAAGTAATGAAAATTTGCAACCGCCTGGAGCTAACCTTCATTCAGTATTGAATAAAGGGGGAAAAAATCATAATCAAATGTCGTAACGATGACGTAGAAGATAATATAGCGGAAATTTTAAACTAGTATCGGATATGATTTTTGTAAGTATCCGGCCGATACGCCGGGTATGCCGGATATTCCGGATATGTTAAATATTGTAGGAGAATAAGAGGACGGAGTTTCTTGAGGTGCTCCTCTCCCCTAGTGATGATGTAACTGTTGCCGTGACCAAGATTCTTGAATATTACTTATGTTTGAGTTTATACAGTTTTCTCTGAACTTAACTTAGACCATTAAAAATGATGAACGCGGCTTAAGCTATATAATGCTAATCTAAAAGTGAAGCCAAAACAGTTTTGCTTAGTGACGTCAGTCTGTGGCAAAAAAACCTTATTTTAGGTCGAGATTGCTTTTGCGTTTATCTTAAATTTTTTGATTAATCTTAATTAGGGTGTATACAATTGCACAAAAAGATGTAAAAGTGGTACAGATATATTATTTCAAGGATAAGAGTTTGTATTTGTTACAATAGTAATTAATAAATAGTTTTAAAGAAATGACATAGTAATTACTATATTTAGTCTTTATTAGATTGTTATATGTTCTATATATCTTTAATAAAAAGAATTTTTCTAAAAAATTTAAATAAACTTTTATTTCTAGTTTGTATTTTTTAGTTTTTTGCCACAAAGTGACGTCACATACGCTATAAGGTTTTGGCTTCAACGATTTACCAAAACGCCGCATATATCATTTTTAATGGTCTTATGAACTTCAGGAGTTGGTTTTAAAAGGCGGCTCTGTGTAGGAATTCTAGGAATTTTTAAAATAAAAGAATTTCGCTATGGGTGTAACTAAAGTAGCGTACGCTACCTTAAGCTAAATATAAAATTTTTCATTTAGAACAATTACTTTTAAGATTTTAATAAGCTTTAGGTTGCAAATATTACATCTATAAATAATGTTATGCAAAAGGGTGAAAGAAGAGGTCAAGATAACAAGGGGAAAAAGAGACAAGAGGGGGATACGTTATATACGACTAAGTTTGAAAATAACTGACTTAAAAAATGTTAACTTTTATATAAAAGTTAACATTTTTTAAGTTAGTTATTTTCAAACTTAGTTGTATATATCTATAGTAAATGTAGCTTATTTATGTATATATATATATATATATATATATATATATATATATATATATATATATATATATATATATATATATATATATATATATATATATATATATATATATATATATATTATATATAATATAATATATTATACTTTTAACATTTTTTAATTTTATTGTAACTGTTATTTTTATTTGTTATAAAGCCTTTATATCAAATATGTCATACATTTTGATAAAAAAACCTTACGTATATTGTAATTGAAAAAACTTATATTTTTGTTCGGATAACGTCTACCAGTCGCATTGAGAAGTGTGAAATTATGTAACGAGTTCTGTTTGAAAAATTATTCTTGCGTTGATCAAGTGCATATTAAGTGTACTTGTGTGAAGAGAAAAAAATTCACAAGGTTGAACTTCCATGGCTTAATGCCCAAATGAAAAAAAAAGAATCTATTTCAAAATATGAGATGGGTTTCAATGACATTAAAGAGACCGCCTCACAGATTTCGCGAGAGGAGAAAAAAATGGAGAGGAAGTCTGGAGTAGAGAAAAAATTATAAATGGAAAAAAAAATAAGGTAGAAAATGACAACGTTGTTGAATGTTTAATTGAGGATAATTCAGATTTAAAAAAAGAAAAGATTTCAGAAGATCTGCTTCAAAATAAGATTTGGAAAAAAAATGTCAATTAGTCATACTGCAGAAGTTTCAATAAGATATTTCACCAGCAGCAACATCAGCTTGAAACATCATATAAAAGTAAGAAGAGCAAGGGAAGCAATAATGGAGAGAGTAATAGTGTCTGAAGAAAAGTTAACTAACAAAGAACCTGTTAGAGATTCTACAAACTCCATGACAGGCTCAGGAAAAGATAGAGGTTTGCTGCCAAATCTGGAACAATTAATAGGGAGAAAATTATTCTGGTCTATTTGTATGCTCCATCGTAATGAATTACTATTGAGGCACATAATTGTTGAACTGGATGGCCCAACTAATTCAAAAGATGGTTTTACTGGCCCTATTGAAAAAGCTTTATCTAAAGTCAATAGCTATTATAAAAAGACTTGAAACGTTTGAACCTATAGAATTGCTGAAACCTTTAATTGAAATTCCTGAAAAAGTTCTTATAACAATATCAACAGATGCAGCTCTCTTTTATAAGTTGGTATAATGTTTGTTCACTGGCAAGAGGGACATAAACTTTTCTAAAGCAAAATGTGGAAATATTTGCCACAGCAGATGGCTTACCACAGCAAAAGCTTTCATTTCCCTCTAAATGAGTGATTACACTTTTACTGGTGACGTTCTTCGAAAGTTTCATTTAATCGTTAAATGGGTAGCTCAAGTATGTTTCCACATGTGGTATGAAATCAAAGTAAAATACAGTATTGTAGATGGCCCAGGACACCTAGTTACACCGTTGCGACTGCTGAAAAAACGAGGTAATGAAGTTCAAAATATTGCCACACAATACATTCAAAATGGAGCCTATTTTGCCCACTCGGAATCCCTTATTTTAACGCTTTTTTCAAGTTCAGATGAAGAATCAAGAAAGTTTGCCATTAAAACAATTAAAGATATTAGGAAAAGCTCACAGTTCGGAGACACCGCTTTAAGGTCATGAAAAAAGGTTTTTCTCAATACAGAAGCTTTGTCTATTAAAGAGCTAATAGATTGAGATAAAGAAAAAATATCAGAACCAGTGTTTACATGCCAAATCTCTACATACGATCTTGACAAATATCTGGTCACTCGTTTTGAAGCTCACTACTTTCCCTTCACACGCAATCTTGTGAAAGGGCAGTAAAAAAAGTTTTAGAAGCAGCACTTTCCGTTTGTGGTTTTGAAAAAAGAGACGGGTTTGTGAGAGCATGAATGAATAACAGAAAAACTTTGCCTGAGCTAAATCGAAAAAAAAATTTTAGTAACCTTTTTTTAACAAAATTGTAAACAAAAACATTTTTATGACTATATTATAACTTAACATTTTTTTGTTTTTAATGTTGTTAAGCTAAACGATGTTGTTAAGCTGAACTATAAAGATGTCATTCAAACAAATAAAGTCTGAAAATTTCTAATGAAAAAATTCTAATGAAAGTCCTAATTATTTAAAAAAGTTATCATTTATCATATTTTAATTTTTTTTTTCCAATCATATAAGGCCCTTTTCCCCAGAAAAATTTTTTTTTTTAGAAAAAAGTGTTATTCACGTTTCACAGCATATGGTAATATATATAAAAAAATCTAAATAGTTTCATATTTCAATAATTTCAAAATTTTGACCCTCCTTGCTTTTATTCATAAATAAACAATTTTACCTTTTTTTTATTAGTCTTTTTGTAAACGTTTTTCTGTTAACATTATTTTAACAAAAAGCTGTATAACGCATGGTTTATAAAAAAGGAATTAGCAATTCTAGAACTTGGTTTAATATTAAATTTTTTAAATTATTAGGTAATAAATAAGAAAAATACTGGTTACGCTTATTTAAAAAATGCTTCAGAAGAAAAATTTTACTTTGCAAATCTGATGTTTTGAATTTATGTAATCTTCAAAATTTAATAAATGCCCTAAGATTATAAAATTATAAAAAAAACCTTACACAATCTAATTAAGGTTTTAAAGCTGATCTTGAGCTTGGAAGCTTGGAAACAAGTTATGAAGTAGCTGCACAATTTGGAAAAGTATTTCTGATAGCATTCTTACTAATAAATATTTTTTATCAGGTTACAGGCTTCTACCCATTGAATGAGCATTTTTTATTATAATTAAGACCTTTTACTGTCAGCTTTTTCAAGTTGCTCTGTTCTCATTAATGATGTGAAATTTTAGTAGGCCTATCATTTTCCCTCTTAAAATGCTTTGAAATTCAAAAATTCCATTTTTCCTCAGAATTTCTGAACTAATATTCACATAAATTATTTTTTAAAAAATGATGAATTTTGAAGCACAAGTGTTTCAAAGTTCATCATTTTTAAAAAATTCGTTTTTTAAAGTCTGTTGCGCAACATAATACACAAATGAAGAAACGTAAAAGCAAATTTAGAATTTTAACGGGCACACACACACATATATATATTTATATATATATGTATTATTTATTAATTTTTTTCCTTTGTGAAGAAAGTTGGGTAAAGGCCTATATTTGGTTATTTTTATTTTTTTTTTTCAGTTTTTACTTTTGAAACTTTGCTTTTTAGGTATTTCTTGTCATATCGTTTTTACTTTCCAATCTATTTAAAGATGGTTCAAAAAATATTATACAAATAAAGTGGAATATACAGCAATTCCACCTATTAATATCTGTGTTAAGTGTGGTTGGTTGTATATTCATATACGCTGCTTATTGTTTTAACATAATAAGATTGTTACAGAGGAGATTTCAAACAATATATTTATTTGTAAGTTTTATTTTAATTGTGACTTTTTAGAGTAATAAACATGATCTTATATGTATTATACATTGCTTCCGGATAAGTGCGCATAGTTTTTTTTTTTTATCATAATCATTTTCAAACTAGGGTTATTATATAGGGTTAAAAAAGACTGATTGATCATTCTTTTTTAATTTATTGATAAAAGAAAACAAAATTAAAAAAAAGTCAAATATAAAAAAATGTTTCTTTTTTATTATCTTTAATTTATTTAGAATACAATAAGAGTGACAAATATGAGATAAAAAAAGATGTGTGCAAAAGTATTAGCGCACTTAAAATCTTTAGAAAATTATAAGAAAATTAAATGTTTTATTTAGAGATAGCAAAAATCCCGGAAATTTCCGATCCCGGGATTGAGAAATTTGTCCTCGGGAAATCCCAGGATTGAATAAAAAAAAACGCTACTAAAAATGCTACTAAAAACGCTACGAATACTTTTTAAGTACTCATCAAATACTTAAAAATGATTAGTTTAGTGATAATATAACTGAAATATTTAATACATTAATGAACAAAAATTAAGTTACAAACATGTTTTAACTTAATTTTATTATATTAAATCTTATCTGAGACTTTTAAAAATTAATGAACCTAAGTAATTTAAATTATAAAGCAATACCTTAACATCATAACACAGTATAAGTAAAAATAATAATTAGAAAAATAGATAAATATGCATGACTTCATTAATTAAACGGACGCTAAGAAAATTTTGTAATTAAATAAAACTGTTTTTTGTTAACTTTATTAATTAAACTGACTTAAAAAAAACTTTTGTAAATCACGCACATATTTGAAATTAAAATTAATGGAAATAAAAATGGAAATAAAAATTAAAATAACTTTAATAGAAAACATTTTTTCAATCAATTTCTTAAAAATTAAAAATAAAAAAACGCTGATAACACATATATTTAATACTAAAATCAAATATTGCTTAATCCTAAAAAAATATGTCTTAAAAAGTATGATGTAAATATAATATTTTTTATCAAAATAAAGATTATTATGGGCAACTTCTCAGAAACGTAACAGGCGCTTTTTTTATGATATAAGCGAAATGAAGGAAACTGTTTTACTAACGCGTGGCATGTTTTTTACCATTTTTAGATAATATTTTTCAAAGGGAAATGTTAAAAAGCGTTTGTTCCTCCATATGTGGTTATGCCCCGTATTTCCCCTATGCAATAAAATTTCTATATTATAAGCGTATATAACTAATGGGATTAAAAATAGTTTTAAAATTATACTTTTAAAATAATTTAATCAATGCAATTTAATGAAGTAGAATATATATATATATATATTTTTTTTTTTAGCTGACTTTGTTACATATAACCGGTGTGATATTTTTGTTAATCAGTACGTCAATGATTATTCAAAGCTGTGTAAACATTCGAAACTATAAAGTGTTAAATTTTGATACTTGTCGTGAAATTAAAAAGCTAACATCAACAAGCTGCTCAGTTTGTGAAGGAAGTGCAGTAAGTTATTAATGTTTAAGAGAAAATTCTTTAATTGAAACACTGTTTCACTTTTATTATTATTTTTTGAACAGGCTGCTGGATTTTTAGCTTTAATTGTGCTCGTATTCGATACCTATTTGCATTGCCTAAAGTACTTAGATATTAAAAGACGGTTAGCTATAGCAAAAGAAGAAGAAGAAAAAAATAAAGAAAAGTTGCCAAGTCCATAAGAAAATTTAATTATTACTAATTTCAATTATCTATTAATAGATATTTAAAACAATAAAATTAAATATCTATAATAGCCCACAAGTCTTTGTGTTGTAACAGACTGTTATTACTAAGGTTGTTTGCGTACGGCAAGGTTTCATAAATACATGTATATATTTAATGTATAGAATTCAAAAAAGCAACATGCAATTATATACCTGATTGCATATTGCTTATTTGAATGCTGTACTTGCAGCATTTTAATGAGCAACATACAAATTATTGACGTATTGTATGTACGAAAATTAAAATTAAAAGTTCGAAAGATATGCAAAAAGAAACTTGCAAATCATTTGAAAACTTGATAAAATTGCAAATTTCAAAATTTATCATTTAAAAAACTACATATAAATGTATTTATAAAAAATAAATTTAAAATATAGCTGTAGTTAGCGCGCTTGCCTCAGAGGCTAGAGATCCGTGGTTCAATGCCACGTCTGGAAAAGTTTCATAACATCGGTAATGAAGGAGGCGTGAACTTCTTTTCAAATGCTTTTCCGAGGTGGTAAAACCGTAAAAATTCCTTGGAGCACCTAAAAAAAAATGTAATTATTATTGAGATGTAGTCATATCTATATATATATCACAAGTAGATACGATCACATATCTATATGTAATCTAATCTGTTATTTATTAAAAAAAATCTAGTCAAACATAATGGGAAGTTTGTGTACCTAGGGCCGCATTTTTTTAATGACTTAGTTCATTAATCTTATCTAAACTTATCTAAAAATGGCGAACCTGATATGATCACATCTCTATACTAATTAATTTGTATTAATATATGTATAATAATCTAAAATATGAAGGTCCGTCATTTAGAAGGGTTTAAAAATTAGTGGCGTTGGTACAATAAGCTTTTTTTTAATTGTACCTGGAGCTATTAGCTATTGTACCTTGGGCTTCTCTCTGAAAGTTAAATTTAACTCCATTATAAAAAGACAAAAAAAAATAGACACTAATTTTATTAAAGATTTGTTTAACTTTAGATTGATTTCAACAAATTTATCTAGTGTTACTTAAAATTTCCAACATTTAAAAATTTAATCTTGACAGTTTTGAGCAAAGTTGAGGAATATGTCTATGGCAATGATATAATATATAAACTAGATGTCTAACTTCGATCCAAAGATTGAAGCCGCTTTTGCCCTTTTTACAAATGGCGTGTTAAATTTGTAAACAAATATTATTTAACTTTTCTTTTCTTTAATGAAGTAAATATGTTTTAAAATATAAATACTTTTTATGTAAAAGTGTTAAGAAGAAATTTTAATACTTGTAAAATAATAATTTATGTTTCCTAAATTTATTTCACAATTTTGAAAAGTGAAACGACTGACACTTTTGAAGCATTTTAATGAATTATAATACTTTTTAATAAACATAGACTCATAAAAAAACTTTTATAAGTATATTATAATTATATTATAAAAATGTCTTTAACTTATTGGGAACTTTTGATGCTCTAGACTTGCATTTTAAACTTTTATTCCACACATCGGCTTCAGCTTTTGCCTTTTTTACAAATGGCAGACTATATTTGTAAACAAAATAAATGGTTTCATTTTTCGTCCTCAATTTAGACATCTATTATTGGCCTTCGCGTAAAAAGATAATCCCAAAACAACCACAATAAAAAAAGAAAAAAAAAAAGCAATGTACAAATCAATATTTAACTAGTGATCAAACAAATTCTTTATCAGAAAAACACAGTCCAGATCTCCTTATTTTATTAAGCCTCTTCCTGACTGATAAAGCATGGTTTTGTACAAACTTTAAGCCCATATTTCCAGACATCTAACTCTTTTTTTTCTAACTCTAATTTTCTAACTTTCTAATTTTTCGCTGTACAGTTGTTTTTGTACATCTCCATTATCAAGTTTCCTCAAAAATCTTCTATTGGATGAGCTATCCGCAAGTTTGCTGGATTCATGGGACAAAAGGCATTTCCTGGTCCAAATTTGCTTCCGGCAATTTTGCTGGATTTTGAAACAAAAGGTATATTCTGGTATTCAAAAATTTGGTTAGCCTGGAAGCATAATGAGCGGACGCTAAGTCAGGTAAAAACACATAACCACCAGCACTATAGTTTTTTTTAATAAACGAAAGGAGTTTGTTCTTTAGAACTTCACAATAAACGCCGCGTTTCGTGACATTTATTGTGTAATCGCGTTTCCAGATTTTTGAAAAATAGATTTTATTAATCCTTTCGGTAGTAGCCATGCAAGCAACTTTTGGGGAAATTTTTCTTTGAAATCGTATTTAACATTTTCCAGTGTCTTGTTCAAGTCGTCGGTGTAGAAAGCGTCATTGCCTGGCTGATTAATAGTTCAATACAATCATAGTTCAATATAAAGTACAAATCACCATCAATGATAGCATCTAAATTTTCTAGCAGCTGCTTTTTGAAAACGTCCTGATCTATAATTGAACATAATTTTTTATTTTTCTTATGTTACCTTTTATTATTATTTTTACTGGACGACCATTTTTTTTTTAATGTACTAGTTTATATCACTTGCTCGATCCAACAATATGTACTACGTTTTGAGGCTAAAGGTCCGATGAAATGCTTTGCAATTTCATTTGATTCTATTTCAGGATTCTGAACAATGAATTTATACAATTCATTTTTCATAGTCTCACACTTTGCTATTTCCTGTAATTCAAAAAAAAAAGAAAAGTAGTAAAAAATTTTATTAAACTTTATGATAAAATACAAGAGCTTTATGTTGAATAAATATATATAGATTGTGTAATAATAAAATTATATGCACTTTTATATCTTAGCCAAAACTTAGTTATCACCCGTTAATATATCGTACCCGTTTTAGAAAAAGGTTGTATCTTTAAAATGCAAAAAGAAATTCGTATTGTGCGATACGTCTCTTTTCTATAATGGTTTTCAATACGACGGCATATACACCTTTTTTTAAATTATTATTATCTCATTAATTATAAAGAAACGAAGCATAATACTTTAAGATAACATGAATATTATTCCATAGTTTCTACTATCCTAATTTTTCATTTTTGGCAAAAACGGACATACATCCCTTTTCTATAACGGGTGTGATATAATAAGTAATAAAAAAAGTTATATAGTAATAGTAATAGTAATACAAAATGCTGTAACGACGATTGTCGCGGAGCATAAAGTTTAAAATTTATACTTTAACAGCCGTTAACAAATGTTTATCTAGTCTAGCTTTAAAAGAATTTACTGTCATTGTAGAAACCACTTTTTCAGGTAAAGCATTCCAATGAGGTATCACTCTGTTCGTAAAAAAATTATGTTTCGGTGTTGTTTTTGCAAATTCTCTTTCAAATTTCATTGGATGACCTCAAAGTCTCTGGGAAAGAGCTTTATGAGGCTCTTTATACCACAATATTTTATCAATCCCAATTGTTAATTTGAAGAAAACAATGAGATCTCCTCTTATACGTCTTGTTTCCAGAGTTGTGAGGCCCAACTTTGTCAATCTTTTGGTATAACTTAGATGTTTGAGTTCAGGGGCTAGCTTTGTTGCTCGTCTTTGAATTTTTTCTAGGTCATTGATATTGTTTTTACTTGGACTCCACACTGGAGCTGCGAATTCCAAGTGTGGTCTAACCAGTGATGTGTATAGTTGCCTTACCATTTCAGTGTTAAGATAAGTAAAGCTTTTTCTTATGAAACATAAGATTCTTTGTGCTTTACTTGTAGCTACTTGAACCTGATGATTCCATTTCATATTGGATGTAACTATTACACCCAAGTCTAGTTCTTTTGTTGGTGTTTTTAGAAGAAAACTTTGATTGTCCTAGTTATAGTTAATATTTTTTCTTCCAATGTGCATAACACTGCATTTATTTATGTTAAAGTCCATTAACCATACATTTGACCATTCAGTTAACAAATCAATATCATTTTGCATATTAGTTAGATCATTATGTTCTTTTATAAGAGATATGATTTTAGTATCATCAACGTATAATTTTGCGATTGAAGAGATACATTGAAGAAGATCATTGATATATAACAGAAAAAGAAAAGGACCCAATACAGAGCCCTGGGGTACACCACTATACACCTCGCACCAATCTGATACAACTTCACCCATTACCACTCTTTGTTTTCTGTTTTTTAAAAAAGAATCAATCCAATTTAAAATATTGCCTTTAATTCCATAGTTAGAAATTTTATGTATAAGTGGATAGTGGGGCACCTTATCGAACGCCTTTGCATATATATATAAATCCTTTTTTTTCTACAATGACATCGCAAATGGAGGAAGCATTTGTTTAACGGTGAAAAGGTGAAAAATAGATAAAAGAATTTAGAATAGAAGATTTGATATATATATACTGTCGTGTATTTTAGTGTAATTTTTATTTTTTTGTGAATTTCTATGTTTAGTTTATACTGTTGTGTAATTTTGTGCATTGTTTATATTGACGTGTATATTTGTGCATTGGCGTAGGAAGGTTTTTAAATGTTTAAAACAACCAACTTTTAAACAAAAAGAATATTCCAAATTTTTTTACGTTTATATGTATGACGAAAAGATTCTTCAAAAAAAAAATTACTGTAATAGGAGAATGGGAACAGGAAACCCTAAAATCTTAGCCCCCTTCCTCACCCAAATTATAATATATATTTTAAAATTTCTTAATAAATATTAGCTTAGTTGAAAATAGTACCAAAAATTTCATCAACTTGTTGCTCTCACGTTTGGGCAGGGGGAACGGGGCTAAAATTTTAGGGTTTTTTGTTCCGATTCTCCGATCACAGTAATTTTTTTTTTGTGTAGAATCTTTTTGTCATATATATGAACGTAAAAAAATTTGGAATATTCTTTTTGTTTAAAAGTTGGTTATTTCAAACATTTAAAAACTTTCCTACGCCATTGTATTTGTGTATTATTTATTTTGACGTATTTTTTTGTGGTCTTGTTACTCATTATTATTGTTGCTTTTTACGTTTGTTGCTATTATTCAAGTTATTTCTTTTTTTTTTTTTTTGTCTCATCATAATATTAAAAAAAGTCCTTTTGTTTTCTTTTTTATTTTCTATT